TTTCTATCATTTTTCAAATGATGGAAATATTAAAAAAAAAGACGAGAGATCATTGGCTCATTTTCATCTTCATCTTCTTCGCTCGATGATGATGAATATCATCATCATTTTTTTATTTTTTGCTCGTGAAATCAAAAGATAAAAAAAAATTTTTTTTCTTTTAAAGTTTCATGTAACGTGCAATGAAAGTTTTTTTTTTTTTTTTGTTTGCAATTCAAATCAAATGGTAATGCAATTTGATTGCCACAACGATGATGATGGTGGTGGAAAAAAATATTCTCTAGTGATTACAAGCGAAGAAAACAAAAAATTCAGATTCATTTCACATGTCAAATGTTTCCACTCAATAACTCTTTTTTTTTTTTTTTGTTCCATTGATGATAGATAAAGATATTGGATTTTTTGTTTTCATTGTTCGTCAAGCGAGAGAGAGAGAGAGAGAGTGTGTGTGTGGTGTGAAAGAATGAGGTTATCTCATGTTGTTGCGTTTGGAATGAATTTTTTTTTTTGTTTCCCATTCTTTTCAATTGTGAAACATTGTATGCCTATTGGTTATGACTTTATCGATTTTTTTTCTCTCTGTCTCTAAGCATCTAAGGAATTATAATATTTCCATGTACAGGTTTTCAGGATTCTTTTTAGTACGTTTTTTTTTGTTCTTTGGGTGCATATTATTAAAATACCATCAACATTTTTTTTTTTCGTTTTGTTTTTTGTCAAAATAGGTTACAAAGTGTGTGTGTGTGTGATGAATTTTTTCTTTCAAAAAAAAATGGTTCCAGTACATTAAACATTAAAAATTATATTGAAAGGCCATAATTTGAGCCATAATCATGATGTTGATGATGATGATGATGAGCTTTTTGTGATGAAGATAATCAATCGCAAAACAAAACATCACTTTTGAACTTTTTTTCCGCTGTTTTGTTGTTGTTGTTTTTGTTGTTGATCATCAATAGGTCTGGCTAATTTTTATTTTATTTTTGCCACTAATTTTGTATTTATGTGTGGGTGTGGGTGTGATTTTTTTCTATTTTCTTCAAAATATACCACTAATTGTGTTTGTTCATCATCATTGGTCTTCATTCATTCATTTATTCATTGTCATTTTCCGTCTGTCTGTCTTTCTATCTCTTTTTCTCCAGCATTAGCAGTAGTAGTAGTAGCAGCAGCTGCACATCCTTCTACATTTTATTTTGACTGATTCTGTGAATATTCTGGTCTTTATTCCCATTTGTCTATTATTTTTATTTTTTATTATTCATTTTAATTTAGAATCAACTTTGTTTTACTATTCTCATTAGTCCATCATCAATGCTGGTGGTTGTGGTGGTGATGGTGGTTCATTAAAAAAAATTTTTTTTGTTTGTTTCCCATCCATTTCAACAACATCAAACAAAATTCCGTTGTACTTTGTTTTATTTGTTGTTATTTGTTCGTATACCATCGACCATATATTGATGATTCTGGACAAAACAAACAACACAAATAGTGTTGTTTTTTTTTGTATTTTCCGGCATAATAATAATGATTTTGTGTTTTACTCCTCACCATCATTATTATGAATGATGAACTAAACGGCAAAAAAAGTAGTTATTATTCTCTCTCTCTCTCTGTGTGTGTGTGTGTGTGGTCTAATAATACAAATTACTTGCACATATTCTATATTCTATATATAGAATATCTCAATTAATAATCGGTCTTTTAATTTATGATTTATTCCGTGCTAGCTTGCTTGTTTGTTTGTTTGCTGCTTGTATTGCAGATGTATATTTACGTCATTGATAATAATCGATCGATTGGTTTATATTTGAATTTTGATTACATTTTTATATCATCGTCGGTATTTAATTTAAACTCACTTTACTTGCAACAATGACCGAATTTTTTTTTTGTTCATATTCACTAATTATTCTGTGATTTTTATTTTTTTTTTTTTTTGTTGAAAAATTATCACTTTTATCTTTTATAATGTATGTCTACCATTTGTATTCACAATGTTCACAATGGTTAAGCAAAACAATGTGACAACAAAACAAAACAAAACAAAAATCAACTGCAACGACGACGACGACGACTAGAATATAAAAAAAGTGTCATGATAATAATAATTTTTAATTAATCTCATTAATATCTGTCGTATTTCTGGTTGTTGGTTGATTATCTGATAATGTCTAAATGGCTAGCTAGCTAACTGGCTGGCTGGCTGGCTTGCAATCTTTTTTATATGTGTGTTTTCCGCCACTTTTCTCCGGCCAACCAAACAATGTTTGTAGTTGGTAAACGAACAAGAACCAAAAAAAAAAAAAAATAAAATTTATGAATTCAAATGAATCTTCAAAGATTCTCTATCCATCTGACAAACATTTCATTTTCCTGTTGGAAAATGGGAAATTTTTTTTTTATCTTTCACTGTTTCATTTCATATCTTTTCATTTCCATGTCCATTTTTTTTCTCGCTTTAATCTATGATCATCATTGGAACACGTAGTTTTTAAATTTTTCTCACTTAAAATTTCAATTTTTTTTTATCTGGAATAAAACAAAAACGTTTCACACACACACACATGTCGATTCTTTTTATATTTCCCTACAAAACAGACACAAATAAATAAACAAACAAATGACGATGAAACAAAAAAAAAAAAAAAATACTGAAAATTCAATTTGATATCCGAAAATTAGATTCGTAATATTAAAACGAAAGAAACGACATGTAGACAACATTTGAAATGATGATCGGCAAAGAATATTCTGTTGTCATGAAAAAAAAAATCTCAACCCATTTTATTCTTTTCAGTAATTTACCAGAAACAAACCTAAAGCCTCAGAAAACTTAACACAGCAGCAGTAAAAGCAAAAACTTTTTTTTTATGTTGAAAATGTCTTTTTGTGTAGATATTTATTCTTCTTTGTCGTTTTTTTAAGTGTTTCTGTGTTTGAAGGCAAAAAATATAAGCAGGAGGAAATTGGATCATGAACCGGAGATGATGATGATGATTATTATTATTGTCTGTGTGTATTTTTTTTTATCCACATAGAGTGTGTCATCATTATCATTAAAAATGTTCTTTACTGGAATGGATGACTATGATGATGATGATGGTGATTACAATATCCATGATCCATTTCAACTAAATTGCATACATCAAAGGCGAATATTGCTGCCCACTGATGATGATGATGATGGAATTTTTATTTTCTTGAGTTGAACAAAAAAAAAATTTTTTTTTGAAAAATTTCTTCTCGATAATGCCAATTTTTTTTCTGTTACATTTCATCTATGCTTCTTCGACAATCCCACTATATTCTCCAAAATTCAATCCAACCCGATTCCAATTATATTCCATTGCAGAATTTTTGTTCATTTACGAATAAAGAAATAAAATTTTGCTGTCCATTTTTTTCTATTTATTTTTTTTTCATTTCACAGAATTATATGGCTGTTCATTCATTCATTCGACATTCACTACATTCATTGCATTTAAAACCCAAGAAATGTTTTAACGAGATTCTTCCATTCGTTTATTCTAGTTATTTCTATGTCTGTGTATGTGTGTTTTTTTTACTTCTTTTTTTTGCATCTATAGATAGATAATGTGTATGTGTGTGTGTGATCGAGAGAAGAGAAAGAGAAAAAATTATAGGAAAAGAATGACGACGACAAACTATTTTGAAAAGCTATATGTGGAGCTAAATAGAGCTTTTTTCCAATTTTTGTGTGTGTGTTTGTTGGATCCCAAATTGATTGATTTACTTCAAAACAGCATAATGCACTATTGTATAATTCTCGTTTTCATTCATTCATTCATTCATTCATTTTTTCAACTCATTCATTCCATTCGACATTTTTTTTTTTTTTTTGTTCGATTCGATTCTCTTTTGTCAATGGTGTTGTTTTTTCTTTATTCTCTCTCTCTCTCTAATTTTCAAAAAAAAAAAAAAAAATGTTTAGATATTGCATTCCGATATATATATATAAATGGATGATGAAGAAAACAGAATGGCTTCAGTTGTTTGTTTGTTTGTTTGTTACCAGAATCTCATCTTTTTTTTTTTTTTACTTTTACTACTGGTAGTTTATTATCTCTCATTTATATATATATAGGATATATTCTGGGCCAACATTCATTCATTCTACATTGAATTCTTGGATTCCGGATTCTATCCTGTTGTGTATTCCATTGTTTCTGGCTATATTCATTCGTGTATGTGTGTGTGTGTGTTTGTGTTGTCTGCTTTTTTTTCGCATCCCCTTTTGTTCAATCATTCATTCATTCATTCAAAGTTCGTTAAGAGAAAAAGATTCGTGATGGAATGAAAATTTATGGAAAATTGCCGAGAATTAAAAATGAATGGAACGAATTTTCTTTTTTTTGGTTCTTTTGGTCCTCTTGTTTTGTTTCATTTGATTCAACCGAAATTTTTGTTTTTTCGTATACCGAACAATAAATTGTCCATTATAAATGATTAATTTTCTCTGTTTTTTTCTTCCAAATTTATAGATCTGATATTGGATTGAATTTTCGGTGAAAAAAAATGTGATTAATGTGATTTATTTTCAAACCAAACAAAATCTCAAATGTTAAAATGAATGTGACGAATAATTTAGATTTTGTTGGTGGTGGTGGTGATGATGATGATGATATTATTTGCATCAAATCATCAAAATCATCTATACAAACTAAAGGTGTTAGTTTTCTTGAATATGTTGAAGTATCTGGTGATAATGATTGTGATGATAATAATGTCAATAAATGTAATAATATTAATATTGAAAATAATGGTGATGATTGTAATGTACAACAAACATCGATTATACGTTCATCACCATCATCAATCGATATGCAACAATCATCATCATCATCATCAATACATTATCATCGTTCAATAAATAATGGCCAATTTCATTATGAACCATTACGACCACCGGCCATTTCATCACCATTGGAATCAATATCATCAACAGATAATAGTAATAGTTCACCATCATCATTATTATCACCATTAGTGTCTTTGGATTATCATCATCATCATCATCATCATCATCAACATCATAATCCGCATCATTTGGCCAATATAAATGCAACGATGCATAATCCACAAATGACACAACAATATGATTCAAATATTGTGAATAATATGATCCAAGATCGTCCTAGTGTTATATATAAACCAGTAAGATCATTAATACAATATTGGCCTGAAAGTCATCCACATATACCATTATCATTACCACAAAATCAATATGATGCTCATCCTTTAGATCAACAACAACAACAACAAATTAATCAATCATCATTACTATTACATCAATCATCTATTTGTGATACACAAATATTATCCATGAATAGTAACAACAACATCAACAACAACAACAACAATGTTCCAATGCTTTTGGATCATTTAATTAGTAAATCATCATCAAGTGATAGTGATACAAATGATAGTGGTACACGTTTAATTAGTGATTCATACAATGATTTAATTATCAGTGCCTCAGATACAATTACAACAGCAACAACAACAAATACAACTACTGCTACAACAACAACAACAACAATCAATAATAATCAGAATAATCATCATGTATATTTGACATCAATGAATCAAATCGATACGATAGTTGAAAATCATGAACCAGAATCAATGAATTTATCATCATCATCAACAGCAATGAATGAAAATAATCCCAATGATTTATGGATACAAGTTCAAGGTGATTTATCAAAAAATCTAAGAGAAAAATATCTACAAAATCAATCAGCCAATAATTTGGATTCTGTGACAAACAACAACAACAACAACAGCAGCAGCAGCAACAACAACAACAACAACAACAATTCTAGCAGCAATAGAAGAAAAAAGAATTTTCAAAAATTTCGTCGTATCGGTTTCGAACGATTTGGTTTCAATTGTCCCCTTAGTCATCGTATGACTAGAATTATTATTTGGTCATCGATTACCGTTTGTTTATCAATAACATTATTGATTATTTGGTTTAGTTTTTTACGTTATCATCATCATCATCATCATGGTGGACTGTGGTGGTTGCCACGATGGTTATTTGGCTCAACAACCACTACTAATCATTATTATCAGACACGTCGTTATCAATTTGATCAAGATCCATATTGGTATCATGGTACAACATTCTATGAAATATTTCCAGCATCATTTAAAGATAGTGATGGCGATGGTTATGGTGATTTTATGGGTATTGTGGAACGTGTCGATTATCTTCGTTCATTAGGAATCAATGCCATCCGTTTGAATTCAATATTTGCCGCTTTTGATTATCCAAGATATTATGATAATGTTTTGAATTTTTATGATGTTGATCCACATTTAGGAAATTTTCAATCATTTTTTAAAATGGTAAGTGCAAATTCTGGTGATCCAATAATGATAATAATGATAGATGATCATCAACATTCGTTGATGATCAAGATGTGATCACAACTCATTCACATGGATCCTATGAAAACAGTCATGATGATGATGATGATGACAATAAAACATGATCAGAATTTTAATTTTTTCAATTTTTTTCCATTTTTCTTCTTTGAAGATTCAAGTTTTACATTCGAATCAAATTCGTGTGATATTGGAACTGAATCCAACAATTACATCGGATGAACATCCATGGTCGATGAATCGTACGACGGAATATGAAAATTATTATTATCATCATCATTCCAGAAGAAAATCAGCTACAACAAACAAAAAAAATGTCAAAGTTACACCGCCACCACCACCAGCAATTACTACTACTATGACTGTAAGTGTGAAAAACACGTTTTTTAATCAGAATTTTGAAAAAAAAAATTTCAAATTTTTATCAACTGCATACGATTTTGAGTGAAAATTCAATTTTCCAATTTGTAAATTGTTTACCACTTTTTTTCTCGAAAGAGAGAGAGAGAGAGAGAGAAGCGAATTGAGATCGATTCTTGCCTAATATGGATCAAAAGTGCAGCGTTAAAGTTTTTTTTTCATTATTTCCACATTTGAATTTTACTGGCAATTCAAAACTACTACTACTACTAGTGTGTGTATGGTTGTTGAAGAAAAGCCCTTAGGTTTAAAAAAAAAAATTGAATCGATTTTTTTTCTGTCGCTGTTGTTGTCAAGAATTGTTATGATTAAAATTGACATATTTTCAATCCTGTATAATAAGCAGAATGATAGAATCGATGTGTGTGTGTGTGTGTGTGTGAGAAAATGAAAAGATTGATTGATTTTTTTTTTTGATTTTCACACAAAATTAAATTTTTGTTTCGTCGTTTTTTTTCCATATTTTTTATTCTAGCAACAAAAAAAGAAAAAAACCAATACGAATGACGATGATGATGTTCATCATCAACATAATTATCATCATCATCATCATCGTTTTGATAATTTAGCAGCCAACGATAATAATGGTAATGATGATGATGAAGGAACGCCGCCTGGAGGTCGTTGGCTAAATTGGAATAATGAAGCCATACCAAAACATATGTTGAAAGTAGCCGATTTTTGGTTACGTTATGTTGATGGATTGTATCTAAAAAATTTGGAAAAAATCCATGTTGATTTTGATGGTGATGATGATAATGACAATGGCAATGACAATGGTGATAACATTGCATTATCCGATTCAATGATGAAAAAAAGACGTGAAAAAATTCTATTAGATTTTCTACAAAGATTACGACGGATATTTGATTATCATGATCAATTGTATGCAAAAACGAATAAAATAACTGAAATGATAAAAATACCAAAAAAGATATTGATCTGTTCAAGCCATTTATTATCACCATTGTTATCATCAGTCACAGCTGCAAAACGACGACGACGACGACGTAGACAGCAGCATCAGCAGCAACAGCAACAACAAACAATGTTTAATGGCAACAACTATTCACCATCAATACCACTACATAATAATAAACAGAATGAATTTCGTCCTGAATTCGATGAATTAGATATGAATGATTTTTTTGATCCAACAGAATCAACAACAATAAGTGATGAAGAGGATGGTTATCCAAAAATATTGGCCAATTCACATAAAATGTTACCATCATCTAGTAGTATTTCCAGTGCCTCTAAATCATTGAATCATTCTTTATTTTCATCATCGATTTTGAACCATCAACAACAACGAAATAGTATTACGACAACGACTACTACGACCAACTTCAATAATAAATCATTAATCATTAAATCATCAATAAGATCTATATATCATTATTTTGATTTAGTACATTTTGAGCTTAAATTACAGCCAAACCGGATTGACAATATACGAGATCAAATGAATTATGTATTCTTGAATAGACCTTTGGATTTTCCACCCATTATGTGGAGTATTGGTGGCAGTACAAAACATAAACGTCTTGTTAATCGTATGAATGGTACAAATTATTCATTGGCCAGCCTGTTTGTATTGGCAATGATGCCCGGTACTATCAGTATATTCTATGGTGATGAAATTGGTCTTTCAAATGTTTATGATTTTCGTAGCCATAATGTAAGTAGATGAAATTTTTTTTTTGTTCACTTTTTACTTACTGTGTTACTCAGTGTGTATGTTTGTGTTTGTGTTTCCGCTTTTAAAAAAAAAAACTCTAAATAACCCAATTCGAATCGAAATGAAATTGGAGTAGCAGTGTAACTGCAACAACAACAACAACAACATATCAAAACTTTTTTTTTCGTCCATTACTAATGACTGTTCGTTTTTTTTCTTTGTTTGGTTTGTTTTGGGTTGTTTGAAAACAAATGATCATAATTAATTTTAATTGTATACACACACATACACACAACACAAACAAGAAAAAACCAACCAAATGGTCGATCAAAAGAAAAAAAATGAAAATGAAAATCGAAACAAAAACTCGGGTCCAAAAAAAATATATCGATTTTTTGTGGGTCTTTTCATAAATACAATGATGATGAAATGTTACATCTTTTTCTGTTTTTTTTTTCTTTTTAAACAAAAAAATAAACAACAATCTCTGTTGGCCCAGCAATCTTTGTTGTCATTATCACCACCATCATCATCATCATTGTTGTTGTTGTTGTTTTTGTTATTGCCATGATTATTATGTAATTGAATCTGTTGTTGTTGTCCAATAATTTCGACTTAAGTCGATTTGATTTGATGTTTTGTTTTGTTTCGTTTCGTTGTTTTTGTTGCTATTTTCTTTGTCATTAGTTTGGTCATTATCGATATAATAGCTGCAGATTTAGATTTAGATGATGATGATGATGATATGTGATTATGATATCATCATGGTCAAATGTGATTTTTTTTGTTGTTGTTGTTGTTGTGCATGTAAAAAACTAATGTAGCAATATTTTTTTTCTCGTTTCTATTATTTCATCAAATTAGGAATGAAAATAGGATTATCTCTCTATTCTATATTTATATATTAGTGAGAAGAAGAAAAACACCGAAATATCGATTGTATCGATTACACACACACACACCCATAATCCAATGATGATGATGATGATAATTATCTAAAATTGAATAAAAAAATGGAATTTGATCTCATACTTTGTTAGTCTTTTTTTTCCAATCAAATTATCATCATCATCAGTGTATTTTTTTTCTGTTTTCTGGCTTCATCATTGTGTCACTTGAATGAAATTCTTTTTTTGCTTGTTTTTTTTTTCGATAAGATTCTTTAACATTTTTAGAAAGCTTTCAACAACAGCAACAACAACGGTGAGATTGTTGTGTGGATATCAAATCACAATCGATCATTTTTTTTTTTGGTTTCAATTTTCAATCATGATTCATTCATCTATCATCATGAAATTAATTCCAATTTTTTTTTTACATGTTCCTGAAACTAATTCTAAATCATTGCTGCTTACTACTGCTGTTATTGTCACTGCTATTATCGTTGTAGTTGTAGTAGATGTTGTTGTTGTTGTTGTTGTTGTTTTCTATTAACCAGTGATATGATGTTTGTTCTCAAATTGTCATTCAGATTATTGTTGGTCTTGTCATTTTTTTTTATCTGCCCTATCTGTGTTTTCCACCATTAACCAAAAATCATTATCATCATTATTGGATATATTATCAAACATTAAGAAATATCAAATTTTATTTATCCATACCATATAGCCAGATGATGTGACTAATAATAAGTCAGTCAGTCAGTAAGTCCATCAGTGTGTAACCGCGCCTGTTTTACCAAGTTTTTTTTTTTTTTTTTTTGGTACACTTTTTTTTCTTCTTTTGATTCTGATGATTGTTTTTTCTGTGTTTTTTTTTGTTTTCTGGAAATTATTGCCGTGGTTTTTTGCCCCTATTTCTTCATTCACATTCACTAGCCATTGATGATGATGATGATGGTAATGATGATCGTTGTGAATCAAGTTGTGTATATATGTGTGCCATTTTATTTTTTTTTTCTGGCTAAAGCTTTTTTTTTCTTCTTGCATCACCACTTTATCCAATGGGATTTCGAGTGGCAAGAGAAAAAGAAAAAAAAATCGTGAATCAACTTGAATTCCTTCCGACATTTTATATTGCCCCAAAGCTCCACCAACCGCCCCCGCACACACACTAACACCATCAAAAAAAAAACTTCATCAAGACCATCATCAAAAATGATTGTCGAAAAGCTTGTTATTTTTTTTCCTTCTTGATGATTCTTGATGATGATGATGGTTTTTGGTGTGTGTGTGTGTGTGTGTGTGTGTGTTAAACAGTTGTCGTATATATATCGTTCGTTCTTCCTCCCCTTCCACCACCAATAAAAAAAAACAGCAGCAGCATCCGTCCATCATTGGTCTACACATCTGCACAGAAAAAAAAATGCAGAATGTGATCATCATCATCGTCGTCGTCGTCGAATGGATTTGTTTTGTTTGATACTGCAGCAGCCACACCATCATCACACACAAATCATAAAAAAAACTAGCCAAATATTAGAAGTGTAAAAAAAAAAAAATCATTTAGAAAACCAAATATTTGAGTGGTGAAAATATCATTATGGCATGAATCGTTGAAAATGATGGTGGAAAAAAATTGGTCTGTCTATGTGTGTGTGTGTGTTTAATCTATGGTAAAGTTGTAGTAGTTGGAATAAATCGAATAAAAAAAAAAATCAACTAGACTAGACTAGAGCATCAATTGAAAAATTATTTTTTTCTTCTGGTTGTCGTCGTTTTTTATTGAAATTCTTGATTCTCTGGTGTCAATAGATTTATTTCTCTCTCTCTTTTTGGATACTTTAAACTTTGACTCTTTTTTTTCCTGAATTCTTTCAAATATGCTACATGTGTGGCAATTTTATTTCACTTGATTTGAATATATATCTTTAAAAAGTTTAAAACAAAAACTGTGTGTGTGTGTGTGTGTTGTTTTTCTCAGTGAAGCAAACAGAATTTTTTTTCAGTGTTTTTTTTTTTTTTGATAAATTAATTATTGTCAATAACAACTTGGACCAATCAGCCAGCCACAGTAAGAATAAGCAAGCAGCAGCAGCAGTTGGTGACTTGTTCAGGCCATAGTTGTTGTTCATTCTAGATCCAAAATAGATTTTATTGACAAGCTGAAAATTTTCAGCCGAATGAATCGGAGTTATCTCTGATACGAGTCTGGCCCCGGTGATCCGTACGGTGACTGGTACCCTCCAACCAACGAAGATTATCCATATAGACAGGTCGTCGGTGCTTTTTCTATATTTATCCTGTAAACACGTCCAGATATTGGCGATACCGTATCATTATTGGGCAAGGTTTATTTAACGCACCGCTAAATGAAATTCATGTAAAGTCAATACAAACGTCTTTTTTCGATAATTTCGAACCACGCGGTATTTCATTCGTCATTCAAATAGATTGTGGGATATGCAGACGATGATCTGCATGGCGACAAAATTTGGTGGAAAACAAACCACACTGGACACATTTGCTTGCCTTTTGGAGGTCCAATCATTTGGGAAGACTCCATTTACAAAAAATTTACCATTGATAACACTTGCGAGGCCGAATATATATCAGCATCGTTGTAAGTTCCGGAACTTTCTCTCTCTCTCTTTCATTGTGTGAATCTATTTTCAGCATCGACAAAAATGTTCATTCTATGTGTGTGTGTGTGTGTGTGACGTATAATCGATTTTTCATTCAATTCTCTCTCTCTCTCTTTTCTCGTTTTTTGCCGTTGCCGTTGTTGTTGTTGTTGTTATTGTCGGCATTTTTAGCTCATTTTTTGGCTCATAATAAATGAAAAATACTGCTGCTGTTGTAAAAAAAAAAATAAAAATAAAAATATAAAATCAACAATGAAAAATGAGCGGGTGAACTTCTTTATAATGATGTCTCATTGATGATGATGATGATGATGAAGATGTACATTTTATTTGGATTTGTATTCGTAGTTTTGGGTCAGTCAATTCAATATGACGCCAAACAAAAAAAAAAAAAAACAAAGCAAAAAAAAAATTCATTTTTTAATTTTTCAATTTTTTTTCAGTGAATGTTGGCTTCACTACTTTGCATTTTTTGTGAAACAAAAAAATTTTTTGTTCATAATTAATCCATCAACTGATGATGATGATGATGATGATGATGGGGGTGGTGGTGGGATAATAATTTTTTTCAGTGTTTTTTTTTTTCAAAGAATAGAATGGTTGGACGGTTTTTCTCTTTTGTTTGATTGATGATTATTTTTTTTGTTGTTGTTCGGACTCAATCTCTTTTTCTATTTTTTTTTTTCATCATTTCCATACTCCAAGCATCCAGAATATGTTTGTGTGTGTGTGTGTGTGTGCGTGTGTATACCTAGGTCCTAGACCGAAATAATTTCATTTTCCCAGAAATTATATTATATCGTGGATCTTTGAATTTGTAAAGGTTTCTTTTCTCTCTCTCTCTCTCTCATTATTCTCGTTGCCTGTATTGATATTACAAGAATTAGGTTATAATAATAATAATAATAATTTATTCTCATCTTTATTATGAATAAAGATGAATTCTAAAAATGTATCTGTGAGAATTGAGTTGTTGGAAATTCTAATGAAAAAAGTGTGTGTGTGTGTGCTGTATATTAACCCCGGAGGTTATAATCAATCTTTTTTTTTTTTTTTTTTTTGGTTGTTGATTATGAATGATTCTGGGTGGTAGTAGTATTATGAATTAAATATGTGTGTGGCAACTCTTTATTCTGTATTCCATCATCATATTTTATATATCATTTACAATTATATTATTCTGATTTCTATTATTCTTGCTCTCGTTGTTGTTGTTGTTGTTGTTGTTGTTGTTATTTAGAATGAATAAGAAGAATTATTTTTATGGTTCGCTTGTTTTTGTGTCTGTGTCTGTGTTTGTGTCATTATTTTGGCCATGTTGATGATGATGTGTATGCATTACTTACACAATGAAACATTCATAGATTCGTATAATTACCAACTGCATTAAGGACACCAATTATTTTGAAAAAAAAACACACACACACAGACACACAATTTCAATTCATACTGTGTGTGTGTGTGTGTGTCCTCATTA